TATTTGACGGTCGTTTTGATTTTAGCAGTCAGTGGTGCATCCGATCAAACGGCACCGCAAGAGTTTCCACCGCGAAACTATCAAATCAACATTCCCCGAAACGAATTCACCCAGTGGTGGATATTTGGTTTCGTCATGGAAACACGATAAAAAATAAGGAGGTGATATCTTAGATCGAAGAGGAAGAAGAAAGAGGAACGAAAATGAAAGAGAAAGAGAGTAAATGTCTTTTGATTCCTTGAATCTCAGCACTAACTTATCTCCCTTCCCTTGAGAAACGGAAAAATAATAAATAAATACCCAAGCAGCCCGGGTCAATATAGGGTGCATAATCTTAGGGTGCATAACTATGAGTAACCAAATTTGGACCCTTCTTTTAAGTGGATGTAGATCTAAGGGTGGAGAATTAAATGAATTTATTTCCCTAGTTTTCTTGATTGGATCATATCTTCTTAATTCTAACTCGGATTTCAATTTTATTTTGCATAGATAGAACGAGTTCATCGTGCTCTACAAAATGATATACATTTTCAATATTTTTTGAGAAAAAATACCTCTCGTTACCAACTCCATACCATATGGTATCTCCTTCGTTTTTTAGTCGTTTTCGGAAATTTTCGCACAGAAGGAACAATTTAATCATGATCTATTGGATTTCAAAAATTTCTGAGCGAAAAAATTTTATACCTCTCGTTACAAACTCCATATCATACTATACCACCCTGGTATGGGGTGATATTTTTCATATCATATGGTATGCTCTTATTTAATAGCAGTCAATATCATATGGTATAGTCAATACCATATGGTATAGACTGGTAATAACTCACAAATTTTTTAGTTCCAAAAAATATCAAAGTTGATATCATTTTGAAGAGCACAATTAATATGATCTTACTGTGGAAGAAAAAATTCCGACTTAAAACGAGTGAAAAATTATCCGTTAAAGATTAAGAAAATGAAATTAAAGCTTTTTCAAGTAGAGAGAAGGAGGCGATGATGTGGCGGATTCTTATTGAGTTATGAATATGATTATTGCACCACAATGTTACTAACTGGATCTAGGGCTGAAAATTTGTCTATCCCGTCCCTGTCCCTGTCTGACCCGTCCCTGAAGGGTCAAGATGTATAACCGTCCCGTCCCGTCCCTGTCTCCTTCTTGACCCTGTCTGACCCTCAAGGGTTGGGACGGGCCGGGCCGGGCCGGGTCAGTGGGTCGATCCTAATCAACACACTACTTTTTTACAAATTACGTTTTGGTACCCAAATTATTTTTTCTTACAATTTAGTACCTAAATTTTATTTTTTTACAAATAAGTCCATAAATTTTTATGGTAAAATTACGTTTTGGTACCCAAATTTTTTTATTTTTACAAATTAGTACCTAAACTTTTAAAACTTTACAAAAAGATCCAATGAAGTATTATATATTTGTTGTTGCTAAGGGTCACAGGGTCAAAACGTGACCCGTCCCTAAGTTGTCCCGACCCGTCCCGGCCCTTACAGGGTCAACAAATGACCCGTCCCTAATCTGTCTCTGTAGACAAACTGACCCATCCCGACCCTTAGGGACGGGACGGGTCAGTGGGTCTTCAGGGACAAGCTTTCACCCCTAACTGGATGTGCTCCAAAGCCGCCCCTATTAGTGCCTCATAAACTCCTCACCCTTGGATCTAAATGTATGTAAATGGATGGATAAAAATAAGTTATCACAGTAATAACCCTTTGAAGAGTTGCGACCCATCCTACTCCTGGTTGAACCTCAAACTTAAACTCTACAAAGTATAAATTAGATATCCTAAAATTTGTATACCATTAATACGCATATTAAAAAAGAATGATAGTGAATTTTCCATATCACACGCATATATAGTATATACTATGTTGGAATGATATTTTGCTTATTATTTTTAACTAATTTATATCATTTTTTCAAACTCTTTAACCATTATATATTGTGAAATATACAATCTCACAAATTTATCAACAAACCAACTCATAAACTATAGGTTGATTTGTTAATGCATTGCTAGTTGGTTGGCTTCGCTAACCACTTTATCAAGCTACCTCATGAGTGAAAAATGAGCCAACTCACGAGTTGAGCTCAACAAACCACCGAATCGAGCTAGCTCATGAGTCTCACGAGCTAAACAAAGTGTAGCTCAAACTCTACTAATTAGTAATATGTCGAGTTTCAAAAGGACTTTTTCGAGTTGAACACCGAACTGCTCGCGAGCACGTTTACTCATTTGCAGCGTGGTGACGCTACTGGTTAAAAGCATAAAATACGGGGTAAATCTTGGGAGCAGATCTAGTCAATAACCTTCTGGTCAATAATCATGCATAACCCAATCATCATCTGCCACATCAATGCCACTTCTTTCTCCTGAAAAGCCTTTAATTTTCCCCCTTAATCTTTGACGGACGATTTCTCAATCGTTTTAAGTCAAAATTTAATTTTTTTTTCACAGTTAGATCAGATTAATTGTGCTCTTCAAAATGATATCCACTTTGCTATATTTTTGGAACAAAAAAATTGAGCCATTTTTTATGAGTCTATACCATATGGTATTGACTGGTATCGAAATAAGAGCATATCTATGGTTTGAAAAGCGTACATGGTGGTATGAACAAACCAAGACTATAGGATTGTTGAATACATGATATTAGAAGTATATTAACTGTCATTTATGACTTTTAACATTGTGTACCACAAGATACCACCCGTACCAATGTAGTATAGTATGGTATTGTGTGATATTTTTTGGTCATGTATTTTGTTCACCCAGAAACTTGTAGATCCAATAGATCATGATGAACTTGTTCCTTCTGTGCAAAAATTTTCAAAAACGAATTAAAAACGAAGAAGATACCATATGGTATGCAGTTGGTATCGAGAGGAAAGAAAAAAAATTTCTCAAAAAATATTGAAAATGGATCTCGTTTTGTAGAGCACAACGATCTCGTTCCATTTGTGCAAAAAAAAAAAAATTGAAATCCGAGTTAAAATGAAGAAGATATGAGCCGATTAAGAAAACAATGGAAAATAAAAATGACATTTAATTCTCCATTCTTAGATCGGAATGTTCTAAATAAAGGGTCCAAATTTAGTTACTGATTAGTGTGGTTATGGACTATATCTTGAGCCGTAAATTCTAGTGATTCAAGATCGGGCCCGACGGAATGAAATCCCAGCAAATGAAGCAAGCCCATGGGCTCAAGATGAGACTGCAGTCTGCAGGCCTTTTGATCTCTGGACTAAAAAAACAGCTAAATTTCACGTTTGGTCACTCAAATTATATAAATTTTTCACTTTTGCCACTCGAATTACTTTTCTTTTTTATTGACCACTAACTTTACGAATCGTTTCACCGTTAGTCACCGGCCGTCAATCTCTGTTAACTCCGTCAGTTTTTTTATGACATGGCAAACAGAATTGCTGACTGGACCGTCAACTCAATGACATGTCAACTTTTTTTTAAAAAAAAAAATTTGGCCTACTCCCCTTCCTCCAATTCCAACTCCCCCAACAAACTGCACCAATCTCCGCCAACGCCGCCCTCCTTCCTGAACCTGCCCAGCAAAAGAGCTCCTAGCATCGGAGACTCCAACCCCACGAGTTTCAACCGACAGGGTCGGTCCGTCGGATTTCCCTCTCCAACTGATGTCTCCGACCCACAACCCGGAAGCGTCTGGAAGAAAAGGGCAGCATATAATTGAGTAAACGTCAATGCCTTTAAAGTGATCGACGAACTGCTCATTCGAGTTCAGAGCTGCAGAAAGATATGACAAATTGCAACAAGTAGTCAGGCTGTGTTGTGTTCAAAAGTTGGTGAAACAACTCTCTCCCTAAAATGCAGTAGGCGAAGAAAAAAAGATCAATAGAAGGACGAACCAAGATGTAATTGGTCCATGTTTACAAGAATGAAAGTTCATTATGGGGTTGGAAAGTTCGGCAACTCTTAAAAAAATTCTCATTGAAATCTTTGCCTCTTTCACGCTGAGATTTGGCCGAGACCAGCTGCGCTCAAACTCTACCCAGATTCGATTCCAACAAAGTCATCAATTGAGCAGGTGGGGTCGTGCTATAAGCCTATAACCATCACACCCATTGATTGAAACAGGGTGGATCTTGAAAGTCTGGAGCTTCGGGGGATTCCTCCACCGCGGCTGTGGCCCGACCACGAGAAGCGTGTTCGTTGCCGGCGGAGCCGCCACCGTCTTGCCAAGACCAGTCACTATAGCATCCTCTCCAGACCGCCGCTATAGCCTACACCGGGAATCCACGGCATCGTCATCGGTCACTGCAGGCATCCGCATCGATCTGCCGTTGTCATCGTCCCCAGTTTCTTAAGATCTAGGGAAATCTTCCGAAACATAACCACCCAAAAAATCAAAATTAAAACTCTTTAAACTCATAATCAAAAGAAACCCTTAAAAATCGACAAGCATTGAGAAGGATAAACCACTTATCGTTTTTGTTCGCTCACCGACGATGAGAGTAGAGCAGTGGCAAATTGAGATCGAGGGAGGAGGAGAGTGCAATTTCGGGGTTTTTATTTGTCTGTGTTTGATAGAAGAGGGAGACAGAGAGTAGATTGAGAAGAGCAGGGAGAGATGAAGAAGAGAGGAGAAAAGGTGAGGAAGAGGGAGGAATCAGATGAGAGGCAGAGAGGTGGAAGGAGGACCGGTGGTGATGAGTTGAAGGGAAAAGGAAATAAAAAATAAATAATCCATTTCAGCAATTTATCAGTCCAGTCAGCATTTTTAGTCAGCATTTTATTTTTGTTTGCCACGTTATAAAAAAATTGATGGTGTTAACGGAGTCTAAGGGAGACTGACGGCCGATGATTAACCGTGAAATTATTCGTAAAGTTAGTGGTTAATTAAAAAAAAGTAATTTGGGTGTCAAAAGTGAAAGATTTATATAATTTGAGTGACCAAAGATGTAATTTAACCCTAAAAAGAACGGTATGATTTTAGATTTCACACCCCGAGCAGCTGCCGGCCGCCGGCCGTTCTGCTTTTCTCCTGTCTGTGCCCACTGTTGCTTTTATCGATCGATCGATAGAGCTCGTCATCGATCGAACCAGAACGGAAATGGAGAAAGGAGTGAAGAGATGGATAGTCGACATATCCGAGTGGAACCCATCTCCCAATGACTTCTCTCTCGCGCTCGCTGCCCTTCCTCAACTTGAACATTCCTGCATCACCAGGTTCCCGAAAATTCCCCAATCCCTTCGTCAATGTCGTATGATTAGGTTAAGTAATCGTTGAATTGTCCTGGGTTTATGTGATCGAAATGATAATTTCGTCTTATTAGGTTCGCTGTTGTGTGATTCGTTTATCTGCGATTGGAATTGTTGGAAGTAGATTTGTGAGGGAGGAAGATAGGAAGAGAGCCCTAGTAAGCCGACTGCTACAGTACGCCCTTGTCCGTGAAGTTGCGCAAATACCTTATGATGAAATTGTCATCAAACGCACATTGGAAGGAAAGCCTTATCTGGTAAATTGTATTGAACTTTGCCATCTAGACTTCTTCTTACCCTGAACCTTTCTAATGATGCTTCTGTGGTTCCTTTTTATTCAGGAATGTGATAATGGAGCTCAACCTGAACTCCCCAATTTCAACTTCAATGTGTCCCATCACGGTGACTATGTCGCCATAGCATCCGAGCCTCTGTGCCTTGTCGGGATTGACATTGTTTCTTGTGACCTACCAATCAATGAGACGGTTCAAAGCTTCATTCAAGCCTTCGAGTCGTACTTCTCGAGATTCGAATGGGAGAATATAAACAAAGTAGGAAGCCCAGATGACACATTGGCCGAATTTTACAGGTACTGCTATTGTTGATTGTGCAAATCGGTCTTGGTGCAGAACACATGGAAATTTAGAAGCTCCTTTCTACTGAATTGATGATTTGTTAATAGCCTCTCTCTCTCTCTCTCTCTCAACAAAAATCTATGCCGTTTGCTTTACTATTATGATGACCCATAGTCAAAGACTGTTTTCGGGCGAACCTTCAACATGAGTTCTCTTAAGTCTAATCGGAAAAGCTCCGGTCTTTATGACACCATCATACTGATTTAGTATCTTGGTTGTTTTGGGCATCCAGATATTGGAGCTTGAAGGAAGCTTACGTGAAAGCCATAGGCAGCGGATTGTCAAACGGGATAGATAGAGTAGAGTTTCGGCATAATAATTGGATGAACATAAGTGTCTTCATTGATGGGAAGCGGTGTAAAGAATGGAGCTTTTGGCTGCATGAGCTTCCAAAGAGACACTGGGTAAGTTTCTTCATAATAGACACTTCCATTTCTTGGTCCGTTTACTATTGTGGATTAGTTTAAAGCTATGGCGAGGTTTATGTTGAGATTACGTGATCCGTCTTTGAATTGTAGCTGTCAATTGCCAGAGGCCATCCTAAGGCTGCTTGGGGAAGTTACAAGGCAACACTGAAACGGACGGAGTTTAGCCAAGAGGTGTATGAGAACGGTCTTCGGCTTCCAAATGCAGGAGTCGACACGAGAACTGTAGATCAACTCGTACAAACTTTAGCTCGTGCTAAATAAGCTGGTGCTGGTCCCAGGAGTTTAACGGAAATGGATAGATGTTTCTACTGACCCATTCAACAACTGCGTTTTTGCAGCATGGATAGAAATTGTTGCATCATCACTTCTAGGGGGAGAAGAAATAGTTTGGAACTGGATTTTGTTGATAACTGAGAACAACTTTTTTAGTTTGATTTAGCAACTAATCTGCTTTATGTTTAAGGTTTCAAATTCGTTGTGCAAATGAATGAGACAAAGAAGCATACTTTTAGTGTCTCGGTCAACTGGGAAAGTGTCTATAGACTATAATCTATAGTACAGTGGGCTCTTTTTGGGCAAGGTTTTAGTGGGCTGGGCCGTCACATGTACACGAAAGTTGGTGGTGCGGTAGCTACTTATTCTCCGTCGGAAACGCGGGCCGACTCGAATTAAGAAGGTCGTCTGGCATCACGTTGGTGCAATGGTACCGGTAAAACTAAAAATAAAGCTTACAAATTGAATTTTTTTAATTTTCAATCAATCAGTTTCTTTCTTTACCAAGATATATAGAGAATGCAGAACTAATTACAAAATTTACTCTAACACACGTGACAGTTTTTTTTATAATGATGATGAACTTTTATTAAGAAGAAAGGAAAAATCTCCAGTCAAGAACAAAACTCCCACAAGGAGAGAGTGGACAACAGGGAAGCAAACTGGAAGAAAAAGAGAAACAATGGGAAAAGCGAGTGAAATGAAACACAAACATATACGGATCACTAGAGAAAAACCTCCACAAACAAGTGTCAAGGGAAACAACATAAAACACCAGGTCTCCCCACAAAGAGCAGCTTCTAAAAAAAACCAGTAGAAGCTCAAACATTATCTTCCCCGTAGAAGAAGTTTGCCCTGCTCACTGTCGATCTTTTTATGGGCTGTAATCCACTCGACAATGACTCTAACTATCTTCTTAATGATCACCGAACAAGGACAAGAGGTATTCTGAAAGATTCTTTGGTTTCTTTCCTTCCAAATATGCCAACGACAGCGTGAATATCGTCGGATGGGAAAACACTTCCAGTAGCAGCACCCAACACACGAAACAATCTTGGTAAAAGGGCATTCAACCAATAAATGGTTGATCGATTCCTCCTCTATGCAGCAAAGTTCACACCGATTTGCAAGCTGGAAACCACGTTTCTTCATGTTGACGAGAGTAAGGATTTTCTTATGCCAAACAAGCCAGAGGAAACCATAGACTTTCGTGGGAATGATGCTCCTCCACACAGCCCGATACTAGAAATCGACAAACCCAGCGAAGTGGTCCTCCACCTGAAACCTGTATAAAGAGCTGATAGAAAACAAACTCTTGGGACACGGATTCCACACCATTGGCATGGGCCATTGATGAGTCTATGGGAGTTAGCATTGATTAATTCCAGGACAACATCTCTCTCTCTCTCTCTCTCTCGCCGCCCCACCCGTAAATTAATCGAAAAGGAATTTCCCACCCGCAAGCAGCTCACCGGGGATCCAAAAATCGTGCCAAAGATAAATACCAATTTCTGAACCAGGTTACACGCTTCCCTTCCAAAACAAGTCACTAACCTTGCAGATATTAGCCCAAACAGACCTGCTAGAACCTTCTTCAATCTTTCTGGATTTCCATTCCTAGAAGGGATTCTCGTATTTAATTCTGATGAGCTGCCACCACCATCTGTCACGTTCAGTGGCATATTTCCACATCCACTTTCCAAGTAAAACATTCTAAGTCGACAACACCCAATCCACCCCTCTATTTCCACGCTTTGCATAGGTCCCAACCAATGCAGTAAAAAACGCGATTTTACCTAGAAGTGGAAAATGGGTAAAATCGTAAAGCGTAGAAACGAAGCGTAAAAGCGTAAGTTTTTTACGCATCCTGTATAATAGCTGAAAGTATTTTAAGTATGACATGTACTATGCAAAATGTGAGTGTAAAGATTTTAGATAAGTGAATACATACATGCAATTCATGTTTAAAATGTAATTTCTCGGACATAAACTAATTTGTGTCGATTCTAAAGTAGAGCAAACTGATGATATCTTAACAATAACTAGTGTGGGCCCGGCCAGTTGGCCGGAGGAAGGTGAGGTATGAAATTTGATAATATAATGGGGTGTATAGCTTATTGTTGTATAGTCTTTTTGGGAAATTCGTGATAAAAATAGTGAATTTTAGCAGGAAAGAGACATGAATGATGCAATAAATCAAAAATCGGCCTTATGAACCAAAATCAAGTACATGTTACCTTGTGAAACAATATTGTTTCTGGTAATATGATGAGGTGGAGTAAGTTTTATAGAAACCGAATTCCAGAAAATCGAATAAAAAATTGCCTATCCCGTCGGTTTTCGGGAAATGAGCATCTCACAATCGTTGCTAGCTTTTACTCGGCCCGTTGGTCGATTAATTTGCTTTATAAAACTTTCATCCTGTCGTCATTGTGCTTTCTGGTTTTTGTTAGGCCATGATAAAATCTAGGCAAAATACAATTTCGTAGCCATAACTATTCGCGTTGTGACAATAATAGCCACTTTTTGAAAAATACACTAACATAGTCATTCCGTCACAAACTCTAACAGAAACATCATGAACGCTGACTGGACTAACGATTTATATTGACGTGGCAACTTTTTCTCTTGATTTTTCCATGTTGGAAATATTATTTTTTTAATTAATTGGAAAACTAAAAAGAACAAGGAAATGAAAGCGAAGATGACATAAGTGCCCTCAATAATGCCGCATCTCCAAATCAAGTAGAGAATGATCCATAGATCTCTCCATCTCTCTCTCACTCCTGCAGCCTGCCATCAATCCCGGCGACCGCTTTGACTCCCTTCCAATCCTCTCCGCTTCAACTCTTTCCAATTGACACCTCCGCTGAACTCAAGCATCCCTCACCCCAGATCTCCCCACAACCCCAAAATCTGATATCCATTGTCCCCTCGAGTTCGGCACTGTCAAGGGACCCTCTGATAACCTACTTCTCCTCTTCGTCCCCGGCGACCGCTTCCCCCGCCTGCGCACTAGTTATATAGTCCATGAATCGAGAGAGGATGGTCCCTGCTGGTGCCTCCCGCTGGATCTACTCCACCTGTATCCCCATTTTCCGATTTCGAATCATGTTCTTTACTAGCACGATGCTGATTCCGACTCCTATTCCCCATTTTCCGATTCAGACGACGTCGATGAACCCTAATCCCTAACAATTGTGCCACCACCCTCAAAATCCCCAACTTCGACCGACGTAATTTTCATCGGCACTTTCAAACTCCTCTTCAAATCTCTCCATTTCGTCGACCAAGAGAGAGGCGGTTGCTGGATTTGAGAGCGATTGGGGCATTAAAATCCATATCCATGAAAGTCAAGGTGGAAGTGAAGCGAACGGCGGTGCTGGTGGTCTAGGTGGGAGAGACGCGAGCGGCGTTGAAGCAAAATAGCAGCAGAAGAAGGCGACGGGCTCATCGAAGCTGGGGGTGCGGGGAGTGAGTACTGCATGACGGGCTCATCGAAGCTGGGGGTGCGGGGAGTGAGTACTGCATGGGTTTTCGCCGGCTCTTTTCGCGCGACGGGGGAGTCACAGATTGGATTCCTCATGCAGCGCCGGTGGGGAAAGGGATTTGGGGAGGGACGAAGGAAAAGAGCGATAAAGAGAAAACAAAACTAAAATGATTTCTCTCTTTCTAAATTTTTTAATTTTAATTTTTTTAATAAAATTAATTATTTTTTATTAAAAATATACTTTTAAATGATGTGGCGTCTAGATGGCATGAAGACGTCTAGTTGGCAATGACGTGTCATCCATCTCAGCAACACGTGGAGGTTTCTGACGACGTCCATAACGGCGTTAAAGTTTGTAACGGAAATGGCTAAATTTGTCAAACAAGTTTGAAAAAGTGGCTATATTTGGGTATTTTTCAAAAAGTGGCTATAATTGTCACAACCCGAATAATTATGGCTATGAAAGTGTATTTTGCCTAAAATCTAAGAAAATCAAGAACGAATAACACAATTTGGAATAGGAACCGTCATTGTCGTATCCTAGAAAATGTTGGTAAACACAGACTCACCTGCCAAACTGGTTTGGATTGAGATTTTTATCGGGTATCAGGGAACCATGTGATTATAAATTAGACTTGATCAAAACGGGCCAAAACTTGAAATTCAGCATGTTTGACCGACCCATGCCAAATTCTAATTATTCTTTACTTTTAAACTTTCTATTTGAAAATAAAAAATAGTGAAAGGAAAGAGATGACTGCAATTCGCCATTTGCACATCACTTATTCGAGAATAAAACCATAAAAATTCAAAAGGAACTGAAAATGTTTAGGATCGTTTAAATGTTTAAAATAACCAAATAGACCGTTCTGTTTAGTTTTTTACTAACAAATACCAAACGATTCCCTATAAATACACTACAATTTGAACATTATCATATCAAATAATTATATAATATATATTTGAAATTAGGGATGACAATTTCAACCTGACCCGATTTACCCGACCTGTTTGACCTGTTTTGGAGCAGGTCAAACCCGCCCCGTAGGCGGGGCGGGGCGGGCATGGGTACCTCTCATCGACCCGACATGCCCTGACCCGCCCCATTCTCGACCCGTTCTTGCCTATATTACATATAATCTTAGTCAAATTACTTAGGATTTTCCTCTTATTACATTATATTTTAGCTATAATAAAGTTGTAAATAAGTGAAAACCTCAATTTCTTCAATAATTTAACTACATTTTATCATATTATGGTTTCTTTCTTGGTCTTTTAATGAAAATAACGAATGTTTCTAATGTTTTTCGCATAATACATACCCATCGGGTCGACCTGCCCCTACCCGCGCCCCGTGATAAATTACCCGACCTGGACCCGACCTGCCATGGGGCGGGTATGGGTATCGAGATACCCGCTCCGGACCTGCCCCATTGCCATTCCTATTTGAAATGATAAAAACTGGACTAATTGGGTTGGTCGAGGTTGAACCATTGAAAAACTTTAAAATACATTATATTTTAGCCACTAAGATATAAAATAATAGCATAATATATACTATGCCAGAGAAAATAGCTTGTTTTAGAATGACAAACCAATGATGTTCATTTGTTTTACTTGATGGCCAAATCCCGACCCCCAAATCCCGTGTAGGTCAGACCCATTCAACTCTTTTATTTTATGGTTAGCGGTTAGCCCATTAGATACCATGCATTAATTTATTGTTAAATTTTTTATTTTTAGCAATAAAAATGAGTATTGTTTTTGCCTTTTCATATATATTTTATCACCAGGGAGAAATAAAAGGGCTTACAGAAAAGAATTGACACTCCTGGACCCGTTTAAATCCGCATGTGTACGGTAAGTTGGCCCGTTCCACAGAGGAAAGAGAAAAAAATTGATACTCCCTATTCTATCCTTCCTACAAACGCTCCTGGAGCAGGGAATTTGAAAAGGGGGGAAGGGTTTTTTCCTCCCTGCTATTATATGTTTTTAATTTGAAAAGATACAACAAATATACTTAGTGTGATTGGTTATGATCCTTGCTTTTCTTTAAAATGGTCATGGTTCGAATTCCAGTACATGTCTTTTTAATAAATAAAAAAAGTAATTGTGAAGACCAAAATGTCCTTCCTACTTTCACTCTCGTTGCAGGAAATTTGAAATGGGGCTCCCGTTTTTCCGTTCGGTGTATTATATTATGTGTAGAGTTCATAAACATAGATCATAATTCACAAACGAGCTTAAGAATCCAAATTCTCACAAGCTGGTTTATGTTTACGTAATGAAACATGTTTACTAAACCAAGTTCTCACAAATTTCTTTAAGTTTACATAATCACATACATGTTTACTAATCAAAGTTCATTACATGTTTACGTAATGAAACATGTTTACTAAACCAAGTTCTCACAAATTTCTTTAAGTTTACATAATGACATACATGTTTACTAATCAAAGTTCTCGAAATCAACACAAGTATCCTCGCTCAATATACTTGAAATTCCAAATCATGCATAAAAGTAAAACACAACAAACAAATTGGTGAAATAGTGTCATTTCCATAAAGCTCACATAGAGCCAGTAAGTTATGGAGAATATATAAACATAAAAACTTAGTAACCTGTAGAAATGGAGCAATTCAAAGTAATGTACCCTTGAAAAATGTCAGCCCAGATTTCAAACACAGTGGAGAGAATAAATCTGGTGATATCATGATAACCCATGTTTCACTTGGGTGTGCTTTAAAATTTGAGAATAAGAATTCATTGGGTCAATAAAAAACAAGCACATAATCATCTTTCCTACTCATCATGAAAGCTTCTATCGATCATCAATGCATGATGTGCATCAACCCAAAACTACTAAATAGTAATTTTACAAACTGGAACTAGAAACATGCAGCATTGCCAAAAAGCCCTCATTCTAATGCACTAATTGAGGGATGAAGGGGAGAAATGAAAAGGAAAATGAGAACTGATGTTCCTTGATTGGGATGACGATGAGATTGACGAAGAATCCTACTAATCACAACACCACGAAGCCATTAGTTGTTCTGGTGCAAGTGGAGCGGTGGAGAGTGCCGTCGCCGGTGGATCGGTGGAGAGCCCTGGGGAGTGGCGAAGATGGCGGCAGCCGCAGCAGAGGGATATGGAGTTGCAACTGATCCTATTTCAAATTAGGGATTCATATGTTGGAGAATCCTTTCATAATTTCTTTTTATTTTTGTTACTGACAACAAAATGGCGTCAATTTGATGCAAATGTTAATTTTTTTGGACCATGCATGGAATCGCATAGAAACGCAGTGAAAACGTGTTTTTATACGTTGTTACCGATTTTAACGCTTTTACGCACGATTTTGAATGCTTTTGTGAACTCAACGCTTTTAGGTGGAATCTGAATCGTTTTAGTGACTTAGATACGTAAAAACGTAAGTTTTTACGACTTGAAACGCGATTTTGACTGCACTGGTCCCAACGCACCAAATGCATCTTTTTGTCCACGCTCGTACCGTTCCATAGGAATCTACGTTGAATCTTTTCAAGACTTTCGTCACTATCTTAGGAGCCTTTTTAATAGCGAGAAGTGGTCCACTGAAAGGCTGTTAAGAGTAGAATAGTTTAGAGTAAGACGAGCACCAAAGGAAAGAAACATGCTCTTCCATACTTGTAGCCGGGTTTGGTACTTATCTACCACCATATTCCATATAGAGATAACATTTGGACGATCTCCCAGTGGCAGGCCAATGTACTTAGAGGCTTCACAACTCCATTTACACACAAAAATTGTTGCGTAGTAGCTTGGTTCAAGGATATCTCCTACTGTGAACATCATCGACATATCAAGATTATCTTGAGGCCCGTAACTGTTTGAAAGCACATGAGAGTGGCAAGAATGTTGACAACCTGATCCGCTGAAGCATCGCAAAAAATTAGTGAATCATCAGCGAAAAGTAGGTGAGTCACCTTGCCGCCACCTCTATATTCATCCATGGAGAACCCTATCAAGCCCTCTTCTTCATAGAGCTTCGAGATCATAAAAGAAAGTATACCATTACCAGAACGAACAGCTTGAGGGAAAGAGGGTCGCCTTGCCGAACCCCCTTGCCCGATCTGAAGAAACCGTGAGCTTCCCCGATGACCAAAATTGACGTCATCGGTGAACACATGTCACCCTTAATCCACTGCTGCCAGATTGACTGGAAACCCAAACTATTCACGACATTGAAGAGGCAAACCCAACTAACATTATCAAGCGCCTTTTTAATATCCAACTTGAACATTAAGCCGATTTTTTGCTCTTCCTCCTACTGCCAGCAAGTTCATTAGCAATTAGAGTAGCCTCCGAGATATGTCTTCCGAGGACCGAGGCATGTTGGTTGGGGGAAACTAACTTAGGAATAACAGAACTCATACGCTTCATCAATATTTTACTCACTATTTTATTGAAACTATTCATAAGTCAGATTGGGCAGAGATCCATTATACTTTCCACAACGTCAACCTTTGGAGCGAGACATATAAAGGCATGAGTAATGTTGTCCGGAAGATATCTGTAACACCCTACACTGTACGTATTACCTAATCATATTGTTCATACAATTGCAGCGGAAATAATCTCGGGTGTTGCATTAATTATCAAAATTTATCCAAATAAAATTTCGACATGAATTACTCGTGTAATGGGCTAACAGTTCTTCCATCTAATCCTGCAAAATAATTCATCTAAATCCATGCATTCATAGACAAACATATACACTCACTGCCATATGCATTGGCTTTTCATAGCCATAGTCACAGTTTCATGTTACCCAACTGCATACTATACTGATACATGCCATAATCGTCACCACTTACATAATTACACAAATATACACATATCATCAACTTTCCACACCTGTGGATATCTCACACTACATCAGAAGCTAGTATGCACATGAAAAACGTTCTCAAAACATTTTACAAAAAGGTGTGGATCATTGGCCAAAATCCCGAGTAGTAGTCCAAGCACAGAATAGTTGAAGACCATACCTCATCCTGGCTTCAACTCTAGCTCCTCTCCCACCTAACACCTATCTACTGCTGCTGCTGATGATCTGCTTACACATAGCATAAGCAGAGAAGGAGAATAAAAGAGGGTCAGCTCATAGCTGAGTGAGATAATCATAGCATCGTGAGTTCATAACAGAGCATACCCCTACCATACATCTAGCAAACAAGCCAAAGCACTAGGATCAGACCTCAGCCATTCGACATCCCAATAGGCAAAAGACTCAACCACCTTGACTCATGCATATGCATCTTATCATGTTTTACTTATAGGCGCCTGGCTACTCCCATGCTATTAACTCTCCCGGGAAACATACCCCACATCCCGTCGGATGTAGTCATACATACCCCAACATCCCGTCGGATGTGGTCATACATACCCCACACCACTATGGGTGTAGTCATACCCCGACACCGCTCTAGGTGTGGTCATATCTCGTAAGAATTCTTCAGTCACCACCACATGAGAGGTGTGACTATCATACATATCATAATAGAGTAATAGCATAGGGAGCCCTAATTACTATGTAGTTGACCGTGAGACCACAACACTTATATTTGGTATCCTTATACATGATTCATATCTCATCTTGCTTAATCATAATTCATTACTTGCACATGTACTTGACCTGGCCATAATTGGCTCAACATAGGTAAACCAGGAGTCGTATAATTGCACTTCATCGGGATAAACCCTCGTGCAAGTCATCCTCCTTAAACATCATAATATCACCAGGAGATATATATTTTCCCACTTGTACATCCAAATACATCAATCATGAAATGTCATACCCAATCACTTTCTCGAACCATCATAAAGCATATCAACAGTCAAGCCCACAATTTGCAACATATACACAATCATCAGCATAAGCCAGGTCCATATCGATTAGGGCAAATCAATAATATCATATTGCAGTCCAGGGTTCATCATATAGCACAAAAGTCCATACACCCCTAATCATGCCATTCTAATTCACCTAGGTCAATTCTAAGCATCAATATAATTATCGTGTTACGACAAACCCGGTATGCCGTGCTAATCCCTCACCAGTTCTGGTCGTTCAAACACTGGTTCTAGCCTCCCGTACTAAAACGTCAATTTCCCGAACGAACCCCGAATTAAAATCCGAGACTGTCCTAATATCCCCTGCAGTATCCCCGTCAATATTAGTTCTAGGCTCCGGGTCAAATTCTCGATAAAAACACATCAAACCTGGGCCGGAGCTAAATTCAGCGATTTGGACCCCGACCTAAATAATTGCCGAAATTCAGGGATTAGAACTAGAGGATTGATTACCTCGCTGCAGGAAGCTCGTATATGAAATTTGGGCTCAATCCGGCTTCCGGATACTCCGAAACCCTAATTTGGCTTATCGGGAATTCAAGAAATTCCTGAATCAAAAACTTGTTTTAAAGCTCTAAATCGATAAATCACGATGAATAGATGAATTAGGCATTACTTACGGGATTTTTGGATCACTAGGGCTCAAGATTGGAGCTCTCAAATTTTCCTCTGTCGCTCCCCTGAACTTGTCCGCTCGCTCTGCTCTCGGTCGGAATAAAAGGAAAAGAACGAGAAGATGGAAATGTAAAGGTCGGGGACATTTAAATGAATTTTGCGTCCCGACCGCTTTATATATATATATATATATATATATATATATATATATATATAATATATATTTAATATAATTAATACGTATACTTATCCGATCGATCGATAATCCGATTTTCGTCGAAATAGTGTCGAAATGCTCGATTTTAAATCGTGAAATTTTCTAGCGATCGAAATACGATTTTAGCCGAAACGGGATGTTACAATTCTCCCTTCCTTAAAAAGATTTCGTCCCCGAAATCTAACCTTGAGTTGTACTCTAACTCGTCTTACTTACCCTTAACATGGTCTATCATACATAAATTCATTACCTCACTCTTAGGTTAGGCGATTCATAACATAGAAAGTAACACATAACACCTCAAGTTCCCATGTTTAGGTTTCAAAAACCTATACTGGGCTATCACAACAAAACACATCAGCAAATTCAAAACATAACTTACTAAGCAAGATTGTTAACCTGTAAAGTAGTTTGCTACCAACTCAGGGTACTTCTCTCGCATACTTGCTTCAGTTTCCCATGTAGCACTCTCACTATCTTGATTTCTCCACACCACTTTCAACATTGGAATTTCCTTCCTACGAAGAGTCTTAATTTGATAATCAACAATCTCAACTGGAACCTCTTCAAATGTCAAATCTGGACCCAACTCGATATCTTCTGGTTGTATAACATGGGAAGGATCCACTTTGTACCTCTTCAGCATACTAACATGAAATACATTGTGGGTTTGAGATAGTTCTGGAGGCAATGCCAGTTTATATGCCACTGGTCCAATCTTCTCTGTGATTTCGTAGGGTCCAATATACCGAGGTGCAAGTTTCCCTTTCTTACCAAATCTCATTACGCCTTTCCAGGGCGAAACTTTGAGAAATACTTTCTCACCCACTTCGAAATTAACTTCACGGCTATTCGTGTCAACATAAACTTTCTGTCGATCTTGAGCCACCCTCAAGCGCTCCCTGATTTCCTTAACCTTGTCAACTGTGATCTGAACTACCTCTGGCCCTGAGATTTGCCTTGCTCCTTCTACATCCCAACATAATGGTGTTCTACATTTTCTCCCATAGAGTGCCTCATAGGGTGGAACACCCAAACTACTATGATACTGATTATTGTAGGCAAACTCAATTAAGGGCAAATGGTCAATCCATGATTCCTCCCATTGCATTACACATGATCGAAGTAACTCTTCCAAGGTAAGGATGGTTCGTTAACTCTGCCCATCTGTTTGAGGATGATAAGCTGAAGTAAAATGCAGTTTAGTTCCCAAGGCATCATGTAAACTTTGCCAAAACTGAGATGTGAAGCTCGGGTCTCGATCAGAGACAATAGAAATTGGCACACCATGCAATCTGACGATCTCCTTAATATATAGTTGAGACAAAGTCTCCAGTGATGGTTTCCATCTAATGGGTAAAAAGTGAGCCGATTTGGTCAGTCGGTCCACAATAACCCATACTGCATCTTTTGCCCTTGATGATGGGAGACCATATACAAAATCCATTGTGATTCTTTCCCACTTCCATTCTGGAATTGGAAGTGGTTGCAGTTTCCCTACAGGAGCTTGATGTTCTGCCTTAACTTTCTGACATACCAGACATGTGAAAACATGTTCAGCCGCTTCCTTTTTCATCCCACGCCACCAAAAATATGGTTTGATCGTGTGATACATTTTAGTTGCTCCTGGGTGCATAGCATAAGCAGAAGAATGAGCTTCATCTAGGATCTCTTTCCTCAAATTATCAACATTAGGAACGCATGCCCTTCCATTAATCTTCAACATGCCATCTACCATTTCAAATGGGCTTTCTTTTCCTTCCTCAATGTCTTGAATGATTTTGCCAACTCTGGGTCCTCCTTCTGCTTCTCACGAATCTTGTCGTGCAACAAAGGTCGAATGTTCAACCGAGCTAGTAACCCTGTTACACCATCCACTTCCAAATCAACATTCATTGCCCTCAAATCAACCAGATCATTTATATTCTTCTTCCCCTTTCTGCTTAGGGCATCAGCAACTACATTAGCTTTACCTGGATGGTAATCAATTGTACAATCATAATCTTTTAGAAGTTCAATCCATCTCCTCTGGCGACTATTAAAATCCTTCTGATCCATAATATACTCCAGGCTTTTATGATCAGTGAGGATTTTAAAAGTCTCACCATATAAATAATGTCGCCATATCTTGAGAGCAAATACCACCGCTGCCAACTCCAAATCATGAGTGGGATAATTTACTTCATGAGGACGCAATTGCCTAGAGGCATATGCGATAACTCTTCCCTCTTGCATTAACACACAGCCCAATACTTGATACGAGGCATCACTATACACCACAAAATCTCCATGGTTTGAAGGTAAAGCAAGTACTGGTGCTGTGGTCAATCTCTTCTTCAGTTCATCAAAACTCTTTTGACATGATTCATCCCAAACATACTTGGTATTCTTCCTCAACAGTTTAGTCAATGGGGCAGCAATTTTGGGAAATCCTTCTACAAACCGCCGATAGTAACCTGCCATGCCAAGAAAACTTCTCAACTCTGACACATCTTTTGGTGGAGCCCAACTCACCACTGCTTCCACCTTTTTCGGATCCACCTCCACTCCTCTACCAGAAATTACATGTCCCAAAAATATTACCTCCTTCAGCCAAAACTCACATTTTGAGAATTTTGCATATAATTGTTTCTCTCTTAGAATTTGCAACACAATTCTAAGGTGAGTTTTGTGCTCCTCCTCGCTTTTAGAATAGATGAGAATATCATCTATGAACACAATCACAAACTTATCAAGATATTCATGGAAAACTCTGTTCATAAGAGCCATAAATACCGCTGGTGCATTAGTGAGTCCAAAAGGCATTACCAGGAACTCATAATGCCCATATCTTGTTCTAAAAGCTGTCTTTGAGGTTGCTCCATCTGCCACTTTCAGTTGATGGTATCCAGACCTCAAATCAATCTTAGAAAAGACTGATGCACCCTGCAATTGATCAAACAAATCATCTATTCTTGGAAGGGGATAACGATTTTTCACTGTCGCCTTATTCAACCTCCGGTAGTCAATGCACATTCTCATGGAGCCATCTTTCTTCTTGACAAACAAAACCGGTGCACCCCAAGGTGAGATGCTAGGTCGAATAAACCCCTTGTCTAGCAGTTCTTGCAATTGTTCTTTAAGCTCCTTCAGCTCAATTGGTGCCATTCTATATGGTGCCATTGAAATTGGTGTTGTGCCAGGTACCAATTCAATATCAAACTCTACTTCCCTTTCTGATGGAAGGTCGGGAAGTTCTTCGGGGAATACATCGGGAAACTCCCTTACCACCTCTACATCCTCAACCTTCTTATCATTTACAACAGTAACTTGAGCAAGAAAGGCTTCACAACCTTCCTTCATTAATCGAAAAGCTTCCAAGGCAGAAAGAAAACCATGATTCTCCTTTTTCTTAATGCCTCGGAATACAACAGGACCTTTATCTGGTGTGTTGAATAACACTTCTTTCTTTTGACAATCCACAACAGCTCCATGTGTTGCCAGAAAGTCCATCCCAAGGATGACATCGAATTCATCAAAAGGTAGCAGAATTAAATCTGCTGCTAGGAAAGCTCCTTCCACACAAATGAAGGAACTTCTAATAACTGAGTCTACCTTCAAGGTATCTCCCACAGGTGTTTTAACACATAAGGTATAACCTAGCTTATCTGGAACTAAGCGTAGCATATGTGCAAACGTATATGACATGAATGAGTGAGAAGAACCAGTATCGATCAAAGCATATAATTGCTTGCCAAGGATAGAAAGCATACCAGTCACAACTTCTGGTGCCACTTCTGCCTCACCTCGAGTCATTGCATAAACCCTCGGTGCTCCCTGTGCTCTGGTACCCTGCGTACCACTTCCTGATGGCTGATTTCGACCACCACCTCTACCACCCTGTGAACCACCACGACCACTCTGAAATCCACTACGGCCTCCCTGGTAACCACCCCTGAATGGGGCTCTACTAAACTGCACTGAAGGCTCGGACTGTGTAGCTCTTACTTCTCTCGAATACGGACAATCCCTCTTGATGTGCCCAGGTTGGCCACAGTGAAAGCATACACCAGAAAATCTCCTACACTCTCCAAGATGCCTCTTCTGACAAAGTTGACAAAATGGCAATTGTGTGGCTGAGGAAATTGGTGCCTTGTATGATGTTCCCGACATAGATTGACTCGGGGTTCTCCCAAAACTGCTAGGACCTCTCCTGGGTGGGTAACGAGGTCCAGCATAACTCACTCCAAACTTCCTCTTCTTCTCCTCTTCTTTGGCCTTGTTTTCCTCTCTACCCTCAACTTCATAGGCTTCATACTTAAGTGCTGCCTCCTTGATAGTGGCCATGCTCTCTTCATCAACCCTGTGGATCTTTTCTTTCAATCCTAGGCGCAGACCATGCAAGTATCTCATCTTCTTCTTATGCTCTGTATCCGCCAACCCATCTTCAAAGTAGAGTAGTCGAACAAACTTGATGGTGTACTCAGTAACTGTCATATTCTCCTGCTTAAGGTTGGCGAATTCATTGTTCTTTGCCCTGATAAAAGCTTCCGGAAGAAACTCTGTCTTAAAGGCCTTCAGGAACTCCTCCCAGGTGAACTGAACTCGTTCACCATTAACTCTAGAGACTGAGGACCACCAGCTCCTCGCGTACCCCTTTAGGAGAAAAACAACATATTGCACTTTTTCCTCTGGGGTTGCATAAAGATACTCAAACACATCTTCCATCTCCCTCAACCACTCTACCACAGCATCCGGACTCACATCTCCTTTAAAGTCCCTACCACCCAAACTCTTCATCTTTGCATAGTCTAATACTGGCGGTCTGGCATCAACCGCCCCCACTCCTCTCGACTGGTCAGTAGGAACATTATGACAACTTCCGTGCGAGCTACAAGGAAATATTGGCCTTAGATTGATCCACACAAAATTCATTCTTC